GGTCCCCATCTGAAAACCTTCCTTTGGGTGGTGGGCAGTGTGGGATTTGTGGAGGACATTGGCTGGACTCTTGGACATGTTCATGGTGTCAATGGAGAGAGTAAGGAACACTGGGATGTCTGTTAGGATGGAATTGTCCTCGTATGAAAGCATTCCTTTGAATGGTGGGCAGTGTGGTGTTTGTGGAGGACATTGGCAGGACTCTTGGACATGTTCATGGTGCCAATGGAGAGAGTAAGGAACACTGGGATGTCTGTGGTGGAGGAAAAACAGAAATTCAAGGATGGAATTGTCCCCATCTGAAAGCCTTCCTTTGGGTGGTGGGCAGTGTGGTGTTTGTGGAGGACATTGGACATATTCATGGCACCAATGGAGAGAGTAAGGAACACTGGGATGTCTGGTGGAGGACCTTAAGCATTTTATACCCAAGCTAATGTGTGTGTGTGTGTATTAGAACAACAACAACACGTTGTGTCTGCCAGTTTTGTGTCACTTTGGATCTCGATCTCGCAGTGGAGTATTATTATGATTATCTTCATCATCAACATCATTATTATTCTCTCTGGCGTCTCGATGCATTTTCCAGTTTGCTGCTTCTTTGTTCCATTTGTTTCCCACTCGGTTTGCGTGTTTCTGCTTTTTTTTCTGTTTCGTGTATATATTTAGCCGCGGAGGAAAAAAAAGAGAAAAAGCAAAAGCGGGGAAAAAAATTGGGACAAAAGTATTTTTAGACATTTTAGGGAAAGAGCTTCTTCTGACTCTCCCAAAGGAAGACACAAAAGGGGGGGGGGCAGCTTAAAGTAGACCCCCAAAAGCTATCCAGTCTGACCCCCTTCTTTCCAGGCAAGAAGACACAATCCGATCCCTCCCAACAGATGGCCATCCTGCTGTAAAACGTCCAAGCAAAACAGAGCTATTCTATTCTATCAATCTATCTATCATTTATTTGTTTACCTATCCATCCTTCTACCCTATATATCTATTATCTATCTATCTATCTATTATTGAATTGCTCGCTCTATCTGTCCTTCTAACTTTATCTATCTATCTATCTATCTATCTTCTATCATTCTGTCTGTCATCTATCCTTCCACTCTATCTATCTATCTATCTATCTATCTATCTATCCATCCTTCTACCCTATCTATCTATCTCTCTCTCTCTCT